AGCCTTGCAATGTGATCTGAAATTATTGTAATTGAATCCACAAAACAGACATTCCATCATGGTGGGTATGTAAAGTAACCCATTTTAGTAGAAATAGCTCTTTGGTCTCCAAGGCAACATAGAAATAAGTCATGCTAATAGTGTAAAAAACTAACATTCATTAGTAATCATCACATGCTAGGCACCTGTTATTATCTTGATTCATTTACTTTCATGACAAACTATGAGGGAAGTATGACTATATTATTCAATTTATGAGAGGATTTTGAGAGCTAGACTTGCTGACTAACTCCAAAGCCTATCAGCTTGATCACTTGCCAGTAATGCATGTATTTTATTGCTGAAGTATCTCTAACTTTATCAGAATTGAGAGAAAAAACAGGGCTTAAAGTTTCAGCTCAAGCTCTCATTTCTGGAATGGTTGCCCACATCTAAAAATCTTCACTAGATCTTGTTTCCCTGTCTTTTAAAAGTTGTGCAAGCACATTTTTACCAACAATGTGACCACATAGATAATGCAATATCTTGTCTCAGTCCATCCATTTCTGTTTGTATGTGCATGAAATGATGACTCTATCCATGTGTATGTCCAAGAAATGTTTGGAGAGCACCTGTGGGTCATAAACTCAATGTCCACACCGTGTTAAGATTTCAATATATTAGACAAGGGAAAAGGGGTCAATGAAGGGACTAAAATGAAAGAGATAGAGTGAAGGGAGAAAGGGTTCCTTCAAAATACATCATGTACATGTAGGGAAGTATCACAAAGAAATACATTAATATGGACTAATATGCACAATAAATAGTAGGGGGAAAAAATTCAGTGTGATACTGATAGCCAGGCCAAGGGTTGCTGGAATTTCAAAATCGCAGATCACTGTTGTCCCTTTTGGACTCATTTGCCTTGTTTGTGCATTCACTGATATGTTTATTACCAACTGAGAAGCACAAACCTTTGGATTCAAACATGATTTACCCATCATTAAGGCTGTCCAGTCACTTGCAATCTCTACATGATTGACAAGGAAATATTTTTTTTTAAATGCCAAGCATTTAAAAAAAGCTTCACTAGTGTAATACTCCTCACACCAATCAGGCATGTATGTCACCACTGTACAGTTTGTTCTTAGTTTAAAGAAAACAAAAAATGTATCTAAATGGCTGTGTGAGGACAACATGTATCTTTATTTTCCAGTCGTGGTTCATGTATATAACTAACCACTTCAGAAGACACCGTTTATGTCATAGCCACAACGACCAGCAAGAAGAAGTGAGAAACTCAAGAGATAATCTGATATTTGTGTCAGCATCTAGGTTTAACTCATTCTATAGGGGTAAAAATGACCATATTACAGAGCTCTCACTGAAACATGGGGGAAGTGATGGTGTGTATGTATAAAGCAACGAGAGTTTAGAAATCAAGTATATAGGCTCCAATGTGGGCCTCAGCATAAAGTTTGCTTTATTGTATTCTATATTTGCTTATGGAAATAAGGATCTGTTCCCCAGAGAACACTATAAAATGATTATTTTATTCTGTTGCAGTAAACAGGTGTTGCTCAGAAAGAGCAAGAATTCTATGTGAATTAGAAAAGCATGATGAAAATTGTCACTGCTCTAAGAGGAAAACTGCAAGGAAAAACCCATGGCCACCTAAGGGAAGCAAATGCTGAAGTGTTTCGTGTAGCCAAAGGCTCTGGAATCTCTTCGTTGAGGAGGTCCATGTGTTATGCAGGTGAGATGGAGCTGAGTGGTCAGCCTTCAGGCATACAAGCAAAGCATGAAGCCTTACCAAGAGACACAAGTTGGCAACTCAACATTTTGTTCTCTCAGCAATCCTGTGCATGCACTCCTTATTGTTGAGCCTAAGTCAGGGACTCATTTTGGTGAGAGGATATGCTTTGACAAAGAGACATTGCTGGAGATGCTGAAAGGTTCCATGTTTGATGTAGTAACTGTGTATAGAACACTTTTAGAATAAAAAAGGATCGAAGTTGCTGTGAGTGATTTTGGGTACAAGCACACACAGACACACAAAGACACACACACACACACACACACACACACACACACACACACACACACACACAGAGAGAGGATTTTTGTTGGGTTTAGTTAGCCCAAATCAAGTGTTCAAAGTGCAAAGTGCTTGGTATCACTCATCCCAGATGCCAGATGCCAGGTCTATGAAAATGACCAGTTAGTTGGCATCTGCAGACCCAACTCTGAGGATCAACCTGGTCTTCTTTACAAAAGCAGTTCCATAATGTAGGAAAGGGGCCCTGTTTCAAAGTGTAAAATATCTGGTTCTCAACTGTGGCACTGCTAGTTTCCCAGTGTGTGCCTTCATCAAATTACTGACCCCTGTCAATTTCATCTGGATCGGATGTGGTCATGTGGATGACTTCCTGCCAGATTCCCTCTCCTAAACTTGATAATTGGAGAGCCCACACCATAACTGTGTCAAGATTACAGTGAGGAACACTCATACACTGTGGCATCTGGTAGGTTTTCCTTTAAGGACAGGTCCTTTCTCCCCAAGAACCATGCTCACCTCACCTTTGCCAAAGCATTCTAAACATTCTCATTTGCTTAATAGTACTCCTAAGATAGGGTCCAACTTCACCTCCTGAGCTAACATGGCTCCCCCTTTTCAAATTCCTAAGTTTGGAAAACCTCCAGAGAAGTCTCTTCTTTCATGTGGTAGTCTTAGCAAATACTTTTTATGTCTGAGCAGAGATTACTTTTGAAGGGCTTGCTTCCTTCTCTGCTATTAAATAGAGTGTAATTTTAAGATCAAATGACTTGAGATGGTATAAGCAGGATTAAACAAACTGTGAAGATAGAATGGAGATGGCATATTGTGCTTACTAGGAAGAGAGATTTACTCTGCTCACCCTGGTCCAAGATTGCAGTTACATTACAAAGCATTATGCTTCTTCACAATTATGATTTCATGATTCACATCGCTAAATGGGTTGCAAATGACAGAAAATGTGTTTATTTGAGCTCCCTATCACACTGTGTTTTACTACACATGCCACTTAAGCAATATATCATGTGTTTAAGCCTGTAGCATTCTTCCTGGTATTCCCATGTCATATTACATACGTGTGGTTTCAGAGTTCAAATACCTTGCCTTTTTATTATTTGATTGTTCACTGTATTGCTACGGAGAAAAAGGTAGCCTTGTATTTTTCTCTTGTCCCAGCCATAACACTCTTTAGAATTCAAACATCTTCTTTTCAGTCTTATGCCTTTCTAATTTTGGAAACACGGGCCACAGGGGAAAAGTGTTCTGCACAAAACACATAATTGCAAAAGAATGGAGTCGTTCCTGCTCCAACTTCAAGGTTAGTAATGTTGTAAATGTTCCCCAGGTTCTTAGTTACTTTTCTTGTTGTTGACACAAAAATACCCGTGGCTAGAATTAAAGGAGATAAGACTTACTATAGCTCACAGTGTTTAGAGGTTTCTGTCCATAATCAGCTGCCTCCAAGGCATGGTAGCGATCCATGGGGTCATTGCAGAGGAGAAACTGTTCATGTCAGGCAGGAGGTAGCAAGAGACAAGTGACAAGAAAAGCAACAAACAAATAGCGACCCTCTTCTTGTGGTGTATAGTCTATCCAGGTGATCCCCCCCATAGGGCAAGGAGCACTCACACCCAGGATGGGACAACCTTAATTCTAGCATCACACCATGCATCAAACCAGCATCACATTCATGGTCCCAGCATCATACACCCTAGATCCAGCCACTTCTAAAAACACCTAAGAGAGATCACATGAGGCCTCGGCATCTAGATACAAGCCATAACACATTACAACACTAAAGTTCCAGTGTAGCTATCTGACCTAGAAAAAATCATACCCTTAATAAGGTCACCACTGAGGGAGCAGAAACATCTATGAAATTACCATACTGATTTTTTTCAACACAATTAAAACTCCAGGACATATTCATCTCTAAGGAAATAGTGCTCCCTGCTTCTTTAATGGTATGTCAGCTCATTTTTTGTACACCATTCTAATGCCTGAAGTCTCTTTGTGTCTGTCTGTTTGTTTGTTTTGAGACAGGGTGTCACTATGTAGCCCAGGCTGGCCTGGAACCTACTGCAATCTTCCTGTCTTAGCCTCCCAAGTGCTGGGATTAGAGGCATGCACCACCAGACCTGGCCAATTCCTAAAATCTTAATGATGAAAACTGGCCCTCCCAATTCCTGTGAAAGGGCCTATGTAGCATAAAGTATACAGTTGTCCTACATATTTTCACAATTTTTTTGTTAGGTCAAGTTGCTACCATTTTATCAACATGAACTGAAGACATAGTAGAAGGAATAATAAATGAGAAGACAGTGCCACCAATGTACTAAGTTTCTGTTTAGGCCATAACATTATCACTCACTTGTCTTCTAACTGAATTGTGTAGTTTTTTCTACTAATCCTGAAGCATGCATTCTGGAGGATTAAGAATACAGAGGGTACCTGAGTATACAAGAACCTTAGAAAAGGTCTCCTTAGAAAGATGAAGAATTGAGACTATTACTAAAGAGCGGTTTTCAGTTTCACCCTGTGTCTCATTCTGGTCATTAAAAGTAGAGGGCAATTTCAGTAGAGCATCTCTCTTCTAAGCAGCTGTAGGAAAGCATTTCATTTCGGTGTGAAATGGAACCAAAAGTTAAGATTTGGGTTCTTTTTGCACCTGTTTGGTTTTTTTATAAATTAAAAAATGATATACTCTTCCCTAGGCTTTTCAAGTTATAGGAGCAAGGAACCATATTAAAGTAAAACTGTTTTGAAGTAGAGAGATTTTAACTGACAAACTGGAAACAAATATGAATTGGACACACTGTGGATTCATTGTACCAGTGAGGATTTCTCATAGTACTACCATAGCATGAAGTGGATGCCCAACGTGAAAAGAATCCTATAAAAATTTCATGCAAGTCCCTTTGAAATTACAGCAGTGAAGTGAAATTCCAAATTAATAATGGCCCATCAATCTATTGACTAGAATATAGAGAATAGAGCTGGCAGACTTATATGTGTCTGTGAGTGTGCAATTGCTTTTATAAACAAGGCTTAGCTTGGAATGAGGAGCCCCTACTACATCATGTTGGACGTTGCCTGCGTTGCTGGAGGCTGTGGAAGTGAGCCTCCTTCAAAATCTGGTTGATGCACGAGTAAGGACCTTGGCACAGTGCATATTCCTCATGAAAGGACCGAGGGCTATCTGGACTGCGTTCAGCAATAACCTGGTTTACGCTGTTTTCTGGTCCACCTGCACTCTCTGGGCTAATAATGCTGCTCCCACTTCTTCCACTGTCATTGCTTGAGGACTGGATGGACAAAGAAAGACAGACAGATGATCAGTATTGTGCTACTATACATGTTTTCCTTACGTAGCTTGGAGAATGGAAGCATCAAACCCTGCCCTGGGCTTAACAGTATACAAAGTACAGTCACATAAGCTAGTTCTCCTCACCCTGACAATGGTCCTACAAATTAAATTGGGATGAGTGGCCTCCATTTTCCAGATGAAGAAACAGATCCTCAAAGTCTCAAAGTCACAGAACTATGAAGCATCAGCACAAGGATTCAAGCACAGGCCTTTTAATTCCCTATCCCTTCACATAGCGTCTGCCCTACCTTGTACCATTTATTTCACTAAGCTGCATCAGAGATGTAAGTCCTCACCTTCCAAGGGAAAGCCTCAGTTGATGCTACAGAATTTACTAGAAATCAGGTCCATAAAAGTAAGACAGATTTTCAAAGGCAGAGTCATGGTAAGATGTGGGAGACAAGTGAAGGAGAGCTAAGGCCTAATCTACCTCCTCTGAGAGCACAAAGGTGAAAGGCAGCAGGTTGTGTTCCTTTGAAAATGACATGTGGCAGGTTTTGGGGAAAAGTCAATGCAGCTGTGATCAGGTTGTTTACCTGGGCATATACTAAGGGATAATGGAAGGATGGTGAATCTTATGTTATTTTAAGGAGGGTGAGCCAGATGTTCAGGGCTCCACTGCCTGCTAGGGGCAAGAGTCTCCTGTCTGCCTACATGCTAAACTGACTCTGTGTCCTTTTGTCTTTTATCTTCATTTCCCCCCGGGTTAGGGTGACAAACTAGTAGGACTAGGTTCCAACAAAAGGTTTCTGAGTAGGGAAAAACTGGCGGGGGGGGGGGACTGGCTTCCCATGGGTGGTGCCTGGGCAGTGACCTTGATCAGCATAGACCAGTTTGCTACAGCAAAAACCCTTACTGAACTGTGATATTTAACAATGCTGACATTGCACTTCTTATAACAGATTCTTCCCAAAGGGTAACTTTAGTAAGATTTAAACCAAGGATAGGCCAGGGATTTAGCTCGGTGGCACAAGCACTTGCCTGAAAAGTGCAAGGTCATGAGTTCGATCTCCAGTGCCAAAACAAAAACAAAAAAACATTTAAATCAAAGATAGTTAGGATCCTTTGGTCATTAGATACTGCTAAACTTTGGTTGTGTGAGCAACTGCCCAACAAGTTTACCCAGAAGTATCAATAGATAACCTATATTTACCTTTATGCAAATGTACTCACACGTTAAAAGAACTGTGCATAAAAGGGATAAAGAGGGGGCAACAGGAGCCATGAGTGAGATCAGTTAATGATGGCTACAAAAGTGACTTAAAGCCTAGATGTCAAAAACAATTCAGAGTGAAATTTATAGCAAAGAGCTTGCTAGTCCTGTAAGTAAAATTCTGGGACATCCATGGTCAAAACGTGATTTAGTTATGGGTATTCAAACATTAAGTAAGCTATTACATTGATGAGGAAACCCACTACAAACACTTTGGTTCCCTTTAGTTGACTTTTTTTTTTTTTTTGTATAAGTGCTGTCTGAAAAATAATGCACAGAGCTCCAGAGTTCAGGCCATGGAGCGATTTGGGTAGCCTATTCACCTGCCCTCCTGGTAAGCATCTACAACAAGGGCCAGGAAGAGAAAAGAGTTCCAGAATTTCGGCCATGGAGGGATTCGGGCAGCTTATTCACCTGCCCTCTTGATCAGCACCTGTAGTTTGGGCCTGCAGGAGAACCACTACCTGTGAGCCAACTTCCATGGGAGCTGAAAATCAAGCACCCTTCTTCCACCTGCCCCCTCCCCCCTTACCTACTGGGGATAGATATTTCAACATCTCTTGGGAGGGTGACCATATGCAGTATAGCAAATATGGGGGATTTCCTTCTATCTTCTGTTTGAAGCATAGGTTGTTTTCACTTTTTGTTATATTTCTTTTGCTCTATTCAGTGTTCTCAATTCGTTTTACAATGTTCTATTTTTGGTTTGATTTAATGATACATAATTGACTAGATAGCTATTGTTAAATTAAAGAGATATACCATAGTACTTAGTACTACTATCCCAGTATCCTACTGTGAAATCCTGTACCAATTTCACAGCATTGTCTCTATTGGCTTTGTTCTGTCTTATGCTGTTACACAATTGCTACTTTCAAAATTAAAAAAAATACATGTTAAGACCCATGTATGTGTAGAATCTATGAACAGTTTATGAGAACTGATCTTATGACAACTGATGAAATGAACAGATACTTTGGAGAAAAGGAGACACTAAAATACCCAGTGCTGATCCTGGAGTGTCATAATGTGAAACCCAGCAACAGTGTTATTCTTTGTTCAGAGTGATATTAGCTTGCTTGGGTTTATTGAAAGTCAACATAATTGAAGATATGGGTAACTGCCTATATGTTTAAGTGTAGAGGGTTGATAACCATATTTCTAAGTTTTTGTTGGATAGTTGAACAGAACTGGTTGCAGTCTCACTGTTTGAATCCCCACTTTATATGCTCCAATTTAGTATCTTAAATAACTATTTGGAAGAAGACAATCTGTAATCATCAACTAGTGATTTCTTACTGTTTATTTTTCTTTGAAAGTATGTATTATAACTACCCATTTTCTGTTTTTTTAGGCTTTCTTTAAATTCAGTTTTAAAAAGAAGACACTACAGTATCCAGTGCTGATCAGAGTGTCATGAAGTGAAATCCAGCAATCCTATTATTCTTTGTTCAAAATGATTTTAACCTGCTTTAGTTTGTTTAATCTAAATATAAATGAAGATATGGATAACTGCATGTATGTTTAAATGTATAGGATTGACAACCATGTTACTAAGATTTTGTTGTACAGTTGATTATAACTTTTTGCAATCTCTCTGTTTGAATTCCCACTTTACATGTTCCATTTTTGTACCTTGAACAACTATTTGTAAAACGACAACATCAACTAGTGATTTCTTACTCTTTTTTTTTCTCTGAATGTATGTACTATTTCTACCTATTTTCTGTTTTGTTTAATCTTTCTTTAAATAAAAAAATACTTGTTTTAAAAAATAATATAAGAACGAGAAACCTTTTTTAATGTACCAAATACTCATCTAAAAGTACAGTATATCAGTTTCACATGATAGGGACAATCATGTAAAAAGGGAACTGAGCCTACCATTTAAAATTGGAAAAGCACATTAAAATTCACAAGACACAGTGAGATTCTGTAGAATCATTATAAAGAAAAAATAATTTTTTTTGTGATGGAGGTAACCTTTTAAACTACCACATAGAAACATAAATGAAAATGTTCAGTGACACAGCATCTACATTATTAGCATTTTAACTGCTGAAAACTGGAAGCAACTAAATGTTTAAAAACAATCTGGGAATCAGTTCAACTGGACTGCATAGATTTATGGAATTTTCTGATCCATTAGCAATACTGATATATAGTTGTGTTTATGCTAATATAGAAAAGTGTCCTTGCTACCCTTTAGGAAGGTTGCACATTCAAAAAATGGTGGCTTCCTAGGGGGCTGAATGCAAAGTCCCAGAAGAAGAAATCAGACCAGATGCTAGAATATGGCAACATGGAGAGGGCAAGATGAATTTATAACGATTTTTATTAACCAAGGCGGTAACTGAAAGGAAAAATAAAACTAGGAAAAGGAAGGAAAAGTGTGAGTGTAGAGCTAAAGCCCAAAGAGCTCACTGTGACCCGTTCAGCGCTGTACTAGGCACGCCCAAGGATCCAAGGTCATGCTGAAACCATGGCTATGGATAACTGGAGTCAGCAAATCCCAGGCTCTTAATGAGAGGATGTGGTGAAATGAGCAGTGGATCCAAGGGGAAGAGCTATATTGGCTCTCGGAGACTGCTGGAAATAGCGACCTGGGGCCCCCACAAAGCAGTCAGAGCAACCTGGCCTTGACAAATGAGACTGCCAGAAGCTCCTGGGCTCCAAAGTTGGACATCACACAGTTCTGACCAGTCTGCACTATGCTGGGAATGCAGTGAAGACATTGCAGCACAGTGTGCAGTGGACCCAAAAGAAAGATCTACATTGATTCCTGGTGAGTGCTAGGGACTGGGTCCTGAGGCTGCTGTCACTGCCTGGAGGACATCTTGGAGTTGGGCAGAGCCCAGTGACATGGTGACATCATCCAGCGGCCCCTGGCACATAAAAACCTGGCAGGGTCAGCTGGGGCTGAGCTGCGCCTCTGGTTGGGACCCAATAAGCAGATACAAAACTGTCACAACTCTGGTATGTCCACAAGGTACAACCTAACTTGCAGATTGCATGGCACAGAGGCTCAAGGCTAGCCTGCACCATCCCTGCATCCCTGTGTGTACCTCAAATAACAGAAAATTGGGGAGGGCAGCAAAATCTCCAGTCAGCATGCTTTGGAAAGACCCTAAGCAATATAGAGAGGGCAAGGAACCCCCAGGACACACCAGTCTGAAAGAAACCAGAAACATGACCAGAGACAGAAATAAAAACAAAAAATCTACAGTTGCTGAACTTGGGAAAATAAGCCCAGGAGAAGTAAATACAGAAGAGAACCAGTGCAGTAACCATCCAATACTAGAAACAGCATCAGTGGACATGAAGAAATACCTTTATGAACTCATAGATGAATTTAAAACTTTACTTCTGATCCAAGTGAGGCAAGATATAAAAAGACTAGTTAAAGAATTGATAAGCCCCTTCCAAGAGAACACAGATGGAAGAACAGAGTAACTCAGAAAATAAAGAGAAACCTCTGATGAATAATTTAAACATAATCTAGAATACATGAAACAGATCCAAAGAGATTACCAGGAAAATGAAAACTGGCAAAATGCCTTGACAAAAACTAAAGTTAGCCTTTTGAAACTTGAAGATAGATTTATGATATATGATCATGAAAGAAAAGATGTCTTAAAATTAAGGAGGAATCGGAAAGAAACAATTCAAAGTTCAGAAGATGAAAAAAGCATACATAACTTAAGAATAAAGCATGTGCGTGAGGA